TTCCCTGACTAGGTCCTCACTGACCATGGGCCAGGCAGTGCCTCCCCTGGGTCCGTTGGGGTTCCCGGTGCAGGGGATGCCCCAGTCCCTGCTCAAAAAAATGGAGGCAAAAAATTGTTAAAGAGGTTAGCTTTGTCATCTGCTGTAACTGTCGCAGGGGCACTCTGGTGCCCTGCTCTTATAGAAGGACAGGTGTCGGTTGCTGGGGCAACCGCAGTCGGTCAGCTGACCAGAAGGGGGAAGGGCCTGACCTATATAAAGGTGATCCAGGCTGAGGCCAGGAAGGCAGTTCCCCTCTGGCAGCTGCGGAAGTAGGAGCTCTGTTGGAGAAGGCCGTGAGAGAAGTCCAAGGGGCTGAAACAGCTCTGGGGTGAAGAGAAACCCCTGGTAGGGGTTTGATGGAGCTTTAGCTAGAGGGCTAGAGTTTGCGTTATAGCCAGGAGGCTTATTTTTGTGTTGTAGCCAATTGGCTTATAGTTTTACTTTGTCGTTACACCGGAGGACTGGGTGAGGCTAATAGGGGTGGAGGAGGCCTCAGTGGGGCTCCACAGTGGTGGGGACCCCGGTGCCAGTGGGGGCACCGCATTTAGGGGTGCACTACCCTAGCCCTGAGAAGGGGCACAGAGGACAGGGGCTAGGTAAGGACGAGGCTGCCTGAGCCCCACAGGAATTGGTGACCCAAGTAGGGGATTTAAGGGCCAGGTATGGCTAAGGCCACCTGATCCCCGAGTGCGGAGAGAAGCCCCAGGGAGGGGCTCATAGCCGAGAAGTCCCGGGGGGGGCGCACAGGCAAGAAGCCCAGAGAGGGCACAATGTTCAGGGGGCACTGACCCCAGCACTGAGAAGGGGTGTAGAGGATTGGGGGCTAGGTAGGCACGAGGCTGCCTGAGCCCAGCAGGAACTGAAGACCTGAGAAGGGGATTCAGGGGCCAGGTACGGCTAAGGCCACCTGAGCCCCGAGTGCGGAGAGAAGCCCCAGGGAGGGGCACATAGCCGAGAAGCCCCAGGGAGGGGCGCACAGGTGAGGAGCCCAGAGAGAGCACAACGTTCAGGGGGCACTGATCCCAGCCCTGAGAAGGGGCGTAGAGGATTGGGGGCCAGGTAGGCACAAGGCTGCCTGAGCCCCGCAGGAACTGAAGACCCGAGAAGGGGATTCAGGGGCTAGGTACAGCTAAGGCCACCTGAGCCCCGAGTGCTGAGAGAAGCCCCAGGGAGGGGCGCATAGCACGGCTACGGCCACCTGAGCCCCAATTGTAAGGAGCCCAGTGGGTGTAAGACCCGAAGAGGGGATTTGGGGGCCAGGCATGGCTACGGCCACCTGAGCCCCAATTGTGAGAGGCGCCAGTGAGGGGGCGCCAGCTGTGTAACAAGCCCGGGGGCGCCAGTGAGGGGGCGCCAGCTGTGTGACAAGCCCGGGGGCGCCAGTGAGGGGGCACCGGCTGCGTGACAAGCCTGGGGGCGCCAATGAGGGGCGCAGAAAGGAAACTGACCAAAATAACGTCCGAGACATCTGCGAGGCTTGGGGCATGGTACAGGGGAGGTTGGAGCCACGCATAGCCCATGAGGCTGGGGTGCGCCAAGTCAGTCCATAAAGAACCGGGGGTCAGGATAGACCCAAGCACCGTGCCCAAGGGGACAAAAGGCAGCCTCCATTATAAATATAGATACCATCAAAGATGTGGCGGGCGAGAACGAGGGTGCTTTATACCTAACTTGGCATGGTAGGGGCGTTAGGAGAGATCACGGCCGCTCCTAGGACCCCACACCATGACAGTAAGCACGTGTGTGTGGAGAGATTGATGATATTTGAGGGTTGGTTGCTGCTTTCAGTTTCATCAAGTCTGAGGTTGGAATGTTGTAAGGTGTTGGTGTTGTTCCTCTGATGGTTGTTCTGTGGCTGGGGAGGTTGTTCTTGCTGTAATTTGTTCCATTTCTTATTTTTATGTAGGATGAATGTTATAGAAAGTTTTTTGAAGTCTCTTTGTGTCCATTGTATATTATTAGGGAAGATGATTGGATTTCTGTCTTTTAAGTTGTTGTAATATGTGGTGATTTCCTTCCTGAGTTGGTCTCTTTTGGAGTAGGTTAGGTGAAGTAGATGATTTTTAATTTTCTCTGAAGTTCTTCTGCATAGCTGTGAAGCATATTTGGAGTTGTGTGTAGTAGTCAGAGGATTGTAGATGTTTAGTCCTCGGGGAACAAAGTTGTGTTTCTTGCATAGGCTTAGAAAATATATGTCGCTGTTGAGTTTGGCTTCTTTCTTTTTCATGTTGTAAAGTTTCCATTTCATTTTAAACCATAAGATTTTTTACATCAAAGTTCTTATACTTGAGTAAAATAACGTAAGTAGTTGTTACAAGATCAATTATTAAGTGACAGGGAGCAGGAGAGTTAATAATATTGGGCACATCTACACATGCACATTTACTGCACAGTAACCAAAAATTACTGTGCAGTATGGGTGGCATCTACATGTGCATGCCTGTACTGCACAGTAAATATGGCAACTTACACCAACTTGGGCTTGATGCAGGTATCAAACTTTCACCCTATTAGTTACTGCACAGTAATGCACATATAGACACCTTACTGTGCAGTAACACTGTGAGTGTGGACTAATTTGCGACTAACTTTAGTCCCAATTCGGTCCACACACAGCCTAACTGCACTTTAATGCCTGCACATGTAGATGTTGGCCTAAACTCTCTTACTATGCAGTAAATTTAATGCACAGTAAATGCACACGTAGGGTGTGCCCACTCATAATCGTAACAACTTTCAAGTTGTCATTCTGAATGTTTTTGACAAATCTGAATTCCTACTGATTTTATTATTTGTAACTTGCTAAAAATTTTCACTGCATGCAAATACAATCATTTTAATAAATAGGTAGATGTTAGTTTTTCTCCTTTCCTGTGCTTGCTTATCCCTTGGTTTCCTCAGGGCCACACTATTTAAAGAAGCTCCCATTATTTTCAGTAGAGTGATTTGCCATAGGGAAATATTTGTGTCCCTTCACTGGACATCTGCTATTGATATGAAAGCAATCAAGAGGAAAAAATGACTGTATGAAGCACACTTAACTTTCACGCCTCTTCATCATCCCACACAAGTGAACGCAGGCAGGGTTTCAATCAAAAGTATAATGGAAGGATATTGGAAGCAACAAATTGAGAAAAGGTGAATAAGACAGTGGCTTGATTTTACAACCAGACTATTCACTTCTGTAATATTTTACCTGCCTACTTTTATTTTGCTTCTAAAACAGAAATATAATATATTTCCTTACAAATATAATATTAAATGATCTTTTTTTCCCTTGCAAAACAATATCTGAAGCAAATTATATAATTTTGAGAACCCACAGGCTTTTCATCAGCTTAACATGCACATTTACCTATTCTCAACATCATAAATCTGTTAAAATATGTCATCACAGGTTGTGGGGATAGGGGTTAGAGTTACATCTGTGCTTCCTGAACTGCCTTTTTCATGGGTCTCCAATCACTGATTGCTGTGTCTGCTTGCTTCAAGTTGCTTCAGATGAGATGGCGGTATAGTGCTTCACAATGGTATGAAATGTTGTTAAAGTAGTGTTCACAGGAGAATCAATTTTTGATGAAAGACAGGTGCAAGATATAAAGTGCACCTCCTTTGTCATTCAGCTACAACTGCAAGAAAAACAAAAAATGTCCTCCTTCATATTCTAATAGGATCAAGTTTTATTTACATGTCACACATCCTATGAAATGACTGCATCAAACTAACCATATAAACTGCTCTTAAGGTGATTACATGAACATAGCATCTCCAGAGAAGGGTTAGCAACAGAGATGGAAGTAACTTGCACTTCATTTACAATAGATTCATCTTCTATTTAATTTTTAACAATGGAAAAAAAGGGGGCTGCATATTTTCTTCCATTAGTCACAAAATCTTAGTTAACCTGTGTTTTTGCTTTTGGAAGATAGACTTACGCCAAAGCACAAATGCTAATATACAATGCTAATACAAAGCCATTGGAAAAAAATCTTTGACAGTAGACAAACCCAAGAAGTCCACAGGCTGAAAGCTAACTAATTTGATACCTAGTCTGACTACTTCTACTGTGAACCTTCAATTCAATGAATGAATATATATATAAATATTTTTCCAGCCTCTAAACAGAGACACTATCTGAAAGTAATAAACCGTCTAATAGGCTTATATCTCTGGGTAGGAAAAAGATAAAGACATCTGGAAAGAAAGTTTCTTTTAGCACTTCTTCTGGGTGTTTCCAATTAAGGCGAATGTTCCAACTCTTATACTGTAGAGAACTCCATGATAGACATGAGGTTGTCTATATGGGTAAATTGACTGGCATATAGTAGCAAAATAATTGCACTCCTAAAGTTTTGCTGGCATAACTCCCTGTGTTGATATTTTATTCTGGAAATATTGCTCTGCTTGAAAGTTGAGAATCCTGTTCCTATTACACTACTATCATATTCTATATTATATCGCTATTATATCCTAACATATTGCTATTTCTGTTATATTGATACTTTGCTACACATGATATAAAATTTAGCCGATATTTATATTAATAAGGAAAGTTGACCTAGAAGATTAACATTATAGAACTAGCAGGGAGGGAAGAGGTTATTATGGACTGCATTTTGTATATACAAAAGAAGAACTGCGTGCATGTTTGTGTGAAAATGTTTGCCTGGAGATGTTCATGTTATCTCACGATTGTGAGACTTGCATCACACGTGCTACACACTGGACATGTCTACATATGCAATTAATGTGACATAATAAACTCTAGGGCTAATCATGCTGGAGTTTATTGCTCATGGGTGCCATGTATACACATGCACCTGGGACTGCAGCATGTTGAGCTGGGTTGGAGTAGTTCTGACTGGCAGGGGTCCCAGGGGGTCAGCCTACCAGCCTGAGGCTGCTCTGACCTGTCTCAACATGCTGCGGAGAGGCTGGATGGGGCATGAGGGTGCTCTGGTACAGGGCTAGCTGGCAGGCAACCCCTCCACTGAAGCACCCTTGTGGCTCATCCAGCCTGTCAGTGTTTACACGTATGGCGGCACAGTAAAGAATGCTGTCACAGGATAGTACTTGTGTGTACAAGTACAGGTTTCCTTTGCTTTATGCGGGTTCTGTATGTCTCTTATACGATGACCCTTTTTATACCAAAAATTCGTTATATGCGAGGTAAATTCACTCTCATATGATCAGTGTGGTGGAAGCCTGCAGTCAGCTGCTTTGTGCGGTGCATTGTGGGAGTGACATGCACCAAAATATAGTCACCTGTGTGGACCTGTGCTCCTCGCTCATTGTCTGTGACGTGTTTCTGCTCACCCTCTCTTCATGCCAACTAAACATTCACCACCACCCTGTGCTTGCGTGTACTGACTGCTATTAGTGAGTACCAAAATTGTCTTGTAAAAATGGTAGAAATGGGTCTGGCGGTCAGTACAGTCAAGGTCTTGGAACATATCCCTATTTATTACATTGTAGAGTAGGTTCCCTTGTTGCAAATTTGAGTTATGTGCTGTTTTCCAGGAATGCATGTATACAGTATGAAGCGAGGGAAACCTACACCAACATACGGTCGAGTTAATTAGTTTGCTGCAGCCTAATAAGGTTGCATATGTAGACACAGAGATTTTACTACAGAGCTAATTAGGCAACTCCACAGCAAACATCTTGTATAGATGTGCCCACTGTTAAGTATTTTCAAATCAAAACTCAGGAAGTCACAGACCTTTTCTGCTATTGTAGGTGAAGAAGGGGAAAGAGGCTTTTTATTTTAATGTTGACTGTCAGAACAGAAAGGATTTGGCTTGGCAGTGATTGTGGCTGCCCCAACAGATCTACAAACAAGATCTGGTCTTAGGCATGTTTACCTGTTCAACCGAATACTTACAGAGGTGCACTGAGATTAAATTAGAACTGGAACCAAATGTTTGCTCTCAGCCGGAGAGACAGGTGAAAGTTCTGTTCCATACTGTGTCTACTTCTGTAGTGAACCTGAGCCAGTAGCAAAACATCCATGCCACCTGCTGCACACTGATGAACAGCTGCTTCTCTACCCTGCCTCGTTTCTGGATCCCAAGGATCCTCCATTGATTCCCCCTGAATATTGTAACTCTTGTTTAGTTGTTCCAACATTTTTCTTTCAGAAAAAAGGTAACAAGGGATTCCTAGATTTACAGGAAAGTCATAGTCAAATGTTGTTTTTTCTAACATTTAGATCAGTTTTTCAAAAGGGATCTCTGAATTTTTCCCCTTTGACTCCCATTCATAGTTTTAATAAGAAGTAAAAGAATGCATTTCTTAAAACATATTCAGGGCCCCTGTTCTCACAGTTAAAAACAAGCATCTCTTCTTTGTCCCAACCATGACCAAGCTGCATACTACTCATCATGAAAGGGTGGAAGAGGAAAAGGGGATACTATTGTATCTTTCAGGTCACTTATACAAATCATCATCAGGACCCCAAAATGCAGCCATTTGGGTTATATATGACAATATTTAACGAGGATTTGTCAAAATATTTTGCTTTGTGCATGTTGTCAAGTGAATGATCAGAGATTAATTCTAATGCCAGCAGGCCCCAGTAGCAATATGTAGGAAATACTATCGGCCTTTGTGGATGATTGACCATCGTGCATCATTTTGCAGTGACTCCTGCAGCTGAGTTCATAGAATCATAGAAGTAGGGTTGGAAGGGACCTTGTAGATCTTCAAGTACGACCTACTGCCTGGGCAGGAGAAAACTGGGCTCAAATGACTCCAGCTAGGTAGGCATCAAGCCTCTTCTTAAAGACTTCCAGGGTAGGAGCCAGCACCACTTCCCTTGGAAGTTGTTTCCAGATCCTAGCCGCCCTGACAGTGAAGTAGTTCTTACGGATGTCTAATCTAAACCTAGTGTCCAACAACTTATGGCCGTTATTCCTTGTTATGCCAGGGGGTGCTAGGGGAAACCCTTAACCCTTCTGGTCCCCCCTAGTGAGTTTATAGATGGCTACCAGGTCCCCCCTCAGCCTTCTCTTGTGAAGGCTGAACAGGTTCAGGTCCCGCAGTCTCTCACTGTAGGGTCTGCCCTGTTGTCCCCAGATCATACGGGTGGCCCTCCTCTGGACCCTCTCAGTGTTGTCCACATCCCTCCTCAAGTGGGGTGCACAGAACTGGACACAGTACTCCAGCTGTGGCCTGACCAGTGTTGCGTAGAGGGGGAGGATCACCTCCTTGGTCCTACTTGAGATGCACCTGTGGATGCACGGCAAGGTCTGGTTAGCCCTGCCAACCGTGACCTCACATTG